AGTGAGAGGCCCGCGTACCGCAAAAAAAAAAAAAAAAAAAAAAAAAGTAACTTCAGTTAAAATAAAAAATAATCAAACTTAAACCCCCTGTAATAAAAAATGAAGAATAAAACTAAAAAATAACTGAGATTTCTCAGAGTCAATGATAAATTGTATGAACTGTATATGGAAATCTAAACTGAAATTATATAAATCAGATGTATTATTGCCTTAACTCACCTGTAAATATTAATTAGGAAATAATTAGTGTGAAAATTACAAGCAGATCCTTTGCCAAGTATTAAAACATTTGTTGTTAACATCTGAAATAATTATATTGTTACTGAAAATGTTTAATAGGTAATTGATACGTGTAATAATTATTACCACATAGGCATTGTGTTATAATAGATAGGGTTAAATATAAATTTATTCCTTACAAAGTAAAAGTACTTAATAGCTATATTAATTAAAAACATACATTATAAATAAAGAAGTCACATAATTAAAAAAATAATATTAAAGTAGCATCTCAGCATAAACATCTTACCTTTAATGGTTTAACTGAAAATGAATAAATATACTTAGGTTTTTAAAATGTAGAATATCATTAATATTAAAAATATTTCATTTAATTACACTGATAAAGGTAGTAATAATAAATTGATTAAAATTGAAGGCACGGTAAATATGAGAAAAATGCAGAGAAAAGGTTAAGATCTGAGAAAAACAAATCTTTTGGTGATAAGTAGACAGATATCAAGATCAGTCTATCTACACCCTGAAAAAAGCAACCTCCAAAATTACCACTTTTATATTTTCAAGGCTCATTAGTAGTAGTAGTTGGTCAGATCATAGCATTCATGTCTGTTGATTATTTGAAATGAGTGAGAAATAAATAAGTGATCTCAGATAAACTATCAAGATGTCTGCATGTAGAAATGGCCTAAAATGAGAAACAGATCCCTGTCTACCTCTCTTATTTCAAATCCATTTGCATAACCCCATTGCAAAATATACTAAAACTTAATTAACCCACCAGTACAAATAAGAAAGAAGTGGTACAAGTGAGGCAAATATAAGTGCAGCAGCCCCAAATTAGACTGACAGCTTGAATGTGAACACAAGGAAAACGACACTTCGGTATGGGTGCCCTCTAACCCCCCAGCAGTTAGTCTCCATCATTCTTCTTTCCCTCTCTCACATGAAATATCTGCCGAAACAAATGGCTTCTCTCCCATTATTGCAGGTGTAAGTTGACCTAGTGGACCCCTGTGGGAGAGCATACAAAGCCCGAAGAAAGTTCATCAATCTTACTTCACAGTAGAAGTACGCTATATGTAATGTCAACTCCTAAGATCCTAAACTCAATTAGCTGGGAGCTAGCATTACCTGTAACCTGCAGGTGCTTCTATATGCCATGTAATGAGTGAATGTTCTACGTTCTCAATGCATATCACTAAATCATCACTGTGGCAAGATGCACTTTCTTACTGTGGATTTTCTAAACGTTCTAAAAAGCCACAAAAAAAAAGCGCCTCAGAAACCTAGACAATGGGAAGAATCAGAATCCTGAATTTATTACATACTCTCATAAATCAATGCAATAGAAACAAATATCCCAAGAGGAACATATTTTAGATTGTACCTTAGGGGACCTGTTCCGATATCTGTCAGGGCACAGAGATGAACAGAGGGAACAGTAGAATGTTAGAGCATACGATAGGTTAAGGGAGGCACATCACTATCACATGCATGTTCAGAGAGCAGTCTGGATTTACATATAAATATTTTACAAATATAAAACCAAGTCAGAGAAAAACAAAGAATTTCATTAAACACAATAGCAAAGACACTAGATGCAAACTTATGGCCATTAAGTTCAAAGTCTATTTCAATACATCCCTCCTAACCTATCAGGTTTCTTTCTTTTCAAGGGTATTTTCAGATGTGGTGACCTCAGTAAAATCTCTGATGGAGGGATGAATAGGCTTTAGTCATTGGTTTCAATTTCTAGCTCACATCAAGGTCTCCTTCCATTTTCAATAGGTAGGAAACCAACTCGCTGTCTAGTTGCTCCTTGGTCAGTACAGGGGGCAAAGGCTGACTAGGCAGCCATATTCAGGTCCCATGAACCAAAAGAAAAAAGATGCAAGAGCTGGGCCTGGGTGGGCCAAGGACCAGTTGAAACTGAATTTAAGTTAACTTAGTGGGTGGTCAGTTAAATGCTTTATAGGAAGGTTGCTAGGTTTGTTGACTGGGTGGCTATTGGTCATCCAGTTGTATGATCAACCTGCTTACTCATACTGTCCTTTCCTTCCATTCATCCATGCCTGAAGCTTCCTTTATTAACTCATGCTCCATGCCCTTCTTCAATTATTTTTAAGCTTAGCAATACTTTCCCCCATCCAAGGTATTTCTTTGATATTCACAATTTCATTATTTTAATGAAGTTTTTCAGGACTAGGGTAATGAGAATCTCCAGATCAGCATTCTGTTTATATACATAACCCAAATAAATTCTTCAATAATTTTCCTTGTTTTATTTTATAAATTACCATCGTCAAGGAGGAAGAAAGAGAGGGAAAGTGAGAAAACTGTTACTCTGGCTAAAGAGAGAGAGTGAGTGTGTGTGTGTGTGTGTGTGTGTGTGTGTGAGACAAAGTGGAGGTGGAAGGTACTTTCAAGTTTATCTTGTTCAGCTCTATCCAAAGAGATATCATTCTTGGTTTAGAGGAAAATACACTGAACTGGGAATTCACAAGACCCGATTCTAGATTCCTTCCAGTCCTGGTTCTGTCACTAACTGTGAGAACCCAGCAAACCACATAGCCTATGTGTCTCAGTTTCTATGTCTGAATTCTTATCTGCATTTGCCTTTTGAATTTGCATAATGTTATGATGCTCTAATAGCATTATGTACATCAAAGTAGTAGCACTATTAAGTTTCTATAAGTGCCCAACAATTATTAAGCTACATGACTATTGTTCTTGTTAGCATGAATTTGTGCCCAATTCCAGTCTCCTCTTACTGACTATAATCCTGTTACTACCTCTCCCTAGGTTTTTTATTTGTTTTGGAGAAGGTGGGGTGCTTTGTGCTTCTCTGTAAACATTTCAGGCAAATTATTATCCTATAATTTGATCCATCATCTCAAGACCCTACTGTCTTAGGCTTTCAAGAAGACAAATAAATGGCATGTAGGGTTTCCCTGGTGGCGCAGTGGTTGAGAGTCCGCCTGCCGATGCAGGTTCGTGCCCCGGTCCAGGAAGATCCCACGTGCCGCAGAGCGGCTGGGCCCGTGAGCCATGGCCACTGAGCCTGTGCGTCCGGGGCCTGTGCTCCCCAATGGGAGAGGCCACAACAGTGAGAGGCCCGCGTACCGCAAAAAAAAACCAAAAAAAACAATAAATAGCATGTAAAACTCTTACTGATGTGTTGGCCAGTTCAACATGAACCCTCATTAATCTCTACCTTTTATCTGTGACAAAGGTTTTCTCATTAGAATGCTCTGAATTTACTGTTTGAAACAGAGTAACCACTCTGGGAGAAAATTAGGTCATATGCACAACTCAAAAGCCAAAATGTGATTCATGGGAGAGATGTACTTGGGTCTCTGAGGAACTGTTGACATCCTTTCAGACCACAAGGCAACCACTCCTATGCCTATCATTCTCTAAGTGAGACCCATCCTGGAGAACAGATGCACATTAATAACATTAACAACAACAAATATGAAGTGTGCCATTTCAATACATTATAAAATCTGGAAGCAAATTATTATTGATTTTGGCCCAGATTCCATAAGAAATGGAGGCTATGCAAATAAAGGTTTATATATATATGGATACTTACTGTATTGACAATTTCTTCCCATGAATTCTCCTGGGCACTCACAGGAATAGTTAGCAACAAGGTCTGTGCATATTCCTCCATTTTTGCAAGGCTCAGCTTCACATTCATTAATATCTGAGGAAAACAGAGAGAAGAGAGGAAGAGAATTATTGGTGAAAAAATGATCAGTTATTAGAAGGTTTTAGGCGTTTCAAATAAAACAAAGTCTAAATAATGCTGTGTGTGTGTGTGTATGTCTCTAGTCAATAATATAAATGGTGCCTACAATCAACAATTGATTAGCAATCAAAGTAAATCCAGTTCAAATGGAATTGAGAATCCAAATCCAGCAGAACTAAACCACTCTCCTATCCTGAAAATAAATATGAATAGTTTGGGGAAATATTCAGCATATCCTTAGAATTAAATCAAACAAATTAACCCTGATAGAGAAATGAATTGGTATCACAAGATCTAGAAACCTCCTCAGCAGCAACCACTGCCAATTAACACTGTCTCATTTCATCTTAATTCATTAAAATTCTAACTGACAGAGATGTTTTAGTTTCTAAATAGTTCACCTTTGATGAATGCGACGAGAAGTAAATTGGAGTTAACAGGTAAATCTTGTTATATGCAGAGTATAATAAATGTAAATGATGATCACTTCCTAATCTCATTCAAGGGTTTCTAAAGTTAGGAGGGCTAAAGGGACTTACCTTTTAATGAATCATTATTATACCTGATGCAAAATCATATGAAATAGAAAACATTCAGCAAATTATACTAATTTCCACACTAATTTTGGACAACAGGGACAACAAATGGGATTTTGAATGAAAAAAGAATTAAAGACTAATTCAGTCAAATATCAATCACTGATATTTACACATCATTTCATCTAAGCTCAGCACCAAGCTAGGTTCTGTGGGAGCTACTAAAGTAACTGGAGGACATGCACTCTCCCCATCACTTTCCCTTCCTATCATCTATCTCAACTGAAATCCTGCTCTGCTCTTATTCCCACAACTCCTTCTTACATATCTAAATGGTGTTACTTAGGGACTGTCTGTTTATGTGCCTTTCACCCTTTCACCTAGTCAATCTGTAAAGTTTACAAATACAGCACCCGTCCTGCACTGTTCTTTGTACCTCCACAAATGCCACACTCTATCTGGAAAACCACTAGTGCCCAATAAATATTTCTTGATAAAATTTATAACAAAATAGTGGTGCAAACAATCTGAAAGAAATTATTTCAGACGTGTGATGTGCCTTCGGATACACTACAACGTATCAAAAGTTATTCTGAAGTCCTGGGTTTTCATAGTGCTTAAAACAATATGATCATTAAACTACCCCCTCAATATCAAACAAGGACAAAATACTAGAAAACCTCTATTTTGCCCTTTCCTTTAACTTCTTTCTTATAAATAGCATCTCCTCCTGGAAGCAGATTTGTTCATCCTTTCATTCTAAGTTTATGGCAAAGTTTGGTCTAAATTTCTTTAGGCAGGTGACCACTTTCTCTGAAAAAACCATCCCTTTTGGTGTCTGGTCAAGTGCTACAGTTTGAGAGTAGAGACAATTGATGACTGTGTTCAGACAGAATCTGAATAATTTGATCATTTTATAATATCAAACAATAGGATAAAATCAGAATCTGATCATCTCTAAAAAATAGCTGTGTACTATATAATAGACTCACAAATATTTGACACTAAAACTCTTAAGCAAGAAGGAAGGAAGGAAGGAAGGAAGGAGGGAAAGGAGAGAAAGGAGGGAAGGAAGAGTATGTCATATTCATATTCTCATCTGATGAGATATTTAGCTCTTTTTGTCTTAACAAAAATTCACTTTTTATTTATATTGGACTAACATGAAAAATATTTTCATTAAACTTTGAAAATAGCACAAAAGTCTCTGTGCTATTTATTTTCTTACCAGATGAATGTCAGGAAATGGCAATGACTGGCTACTTTGGAACATGCTTAATATGTCTTTCCCTATATCATATCTACT